GTGCTTTTTACCGTCACTGACACAGTAAGATATCGACCGCCGTCATGCCGAGATTCTCCGAAGCCAAGTACACTGCGATTGGTGCATTCATATTTCTTCGGTTCTTCTGCCCAGCCATTGTTGCGCCCGAGACAGAGAAACTAGTCGACGAACCCCCCTCCAAAGAAATGCGGCGAGGTCTACTGCTGATTGCCAAGGTCATTCAAAATCTCGCCAACAACGTACTGTTCGGTGCCAAAGAGCCATATATGTTCCCGCTGAACGATTTTTTGACGCAACACATCTACAAGGTGACAACATTTTTGCGTGAGATATCTGTAAGCAAACTTTCCACTGATGATACCGATCTCTACTGATACCAAATCAGATTCCTCCAGAAGCTTTTGAAGCACCGCAAGCTACCGAGTCATTTGACTTTGGATCTTGTGTTGTTCTACATCGATTTATGTACGAGTATTGGGACAATATCAAACAGCGCCTGATGTCACAAGAAAGGAGAGAGAACGTTCGATCGCCAAATGAACTTTCTCGTGGCCGGACGCCGGTCCTTGAACCTCTTCGAACTCTCATCACCACTCTTGGGCCACCTTCCCTGGCAGTTACTTGGAATCGCCCCCAAATTTCCGCAAATGACTATATCTCGTACGCCAGATTCCAGGATTTCATGCTTCGTAACGCTTCCCGCGATAATGGCAACTTCATTGCGTCTCGCACCATATATGACGGGGGCGAGAGTAAGGTGTGTGCTCAATTATCTAATATTAAGATGTTTACGGCTCACTGTTCTTGTAGGATGGTCTTGCCGTGGTTTGTATAATCCTGCGTCATATCGACACGGACTGTCCGGACCAGGACTTCCTTTTATATTCCTTCCTAAAGGTGAGTGTCTGTTTTCTTCGTATGCCAATTGGCTTCTCCTAATCAACCCGCATTCTGATACATTTAACTAGCATGCCACACGACTTTGGCACAAACCATTTGGCGTACTCATCGACGCCACTTGCCACAACGGATTAGGCGACTCCCAAGATGCCAATCACAAGAAATTCGAATCCCTAATCACTTCTGAGATGGGCAAGAACCTGGCACGGCTGTACATATATAACATGAACAGCACGTATAGGTAAGAGTTCGCGACAGTTGTAGACGAAGGCTGGTTATGCTTACGTACGGACTTAGAAAAACGTTCCGTCGCAGCCTCCGTATGGCTGAGAAAGGCGATGTAGTTGCACATCCATTTTGGCGGGCAAATCCTGAGATACACCTGCTTGGAACCCTGCAAGACCTCCAGACACACTTCCACCTCACCCAACTTCATCTACCGAAAGAAACCATTAGCTGCTTATCCGATGCCCGCTATACTTGGACTCCGGCTACCAGGCTTTCCAAAACCAAGGGCAAGATAGAGGTGTCCATCAAAGTGGGCAGTCAATTTGTTCAAATATCGACAATTAGGAAACAAGAAGTTCATCCGGGCCTTCGTCTGAATGCTGTGATCAACGACATATTCCGGCTAGGGGATATTGATGAGGCGCCGACATCTATTTCAACCGAAGATGACTCCGCATTTGGGCTGCGAGCGGACAATGGCAAAATTGTCATGTACTTCCAGAGCCCGAGGAAGAACGAGATCTTGCAGTCTATACGAGGAGCCAAGCTGAAGTATGGCAAGGACACTAGGACGATAAAATCATTTGAGAGACTAGTCCGGCCACAAGATGTACCTGGAACGCTATTGAACCTGGCTCTGGCCAACCTTGGAGCACCAGACCACAATCTCAGAGTTTGGTCATACAATCTTCTTGGCGCTCTCTGTCAAGCATTCAAGTTCAAGGCAGCATCCAAGTTCATGTGTACCGAAGAAATACACATACCTCTGGACCCGAACCAATTCATTATCAATATCAGCAAGACCCTGGCTCTCGAAGAACCCCAGCTGACTGCTGACTTCCTCAATGAATTCTTCGTTGGGTGGGAGCACTTCTCCGACACGCAAAAACCATTGAGCCTTGCTTATGCGGCGCCATGGATATCGAGTTTGCGAACGTCACTTCTGGCGGATGAGACTGAGAGCGAAAGAGGCAAGGAAAAGATTGCCGTCATCTTCCAAAAGCTGATTGATGCTACATCGCATGACAGCACCTTGACTATGACACTAGAGCATACTGTGTGGCCCGCCATCTATAAGGATGAGGTCTTATTGGATATATTCCTCGAAGAGATCATCAAGGCAGCTCTCGCCGTCGGGTCTCAAGATGAGCAGGTCCAGTCCTACACCTCTATTATCATCGCGATGGGGACTATAACACTGCGTGGCAAAGTGATTTCTCGCCTCCGCAAAGCACTGAACCGTTCAGTCCTACGCCCAACAAGACAGCTCCCTGAAAACGCTGTGTGGGATGAAATTTGTATCTTGCTACAATTTTGTCTTGCGCTATCCTTCGATTGTGGCGTTCAGTCACAACTTTACATGCCCGAAGTCTTCCACCTTGTCACAATGCTTGCAAATACTGGCCACTTAGAATTCCGCCGGTCCGTTCATCATTTGCTAATCAACTCATTACACGCTGCGTATACATCCTTCAGATTGGACGGTGACAAAATGCCTCAGCTGCGCGGTGTACTTGATGTGGTAATAGACTCAAAGAGTGAACTCTTTCCTGTGCCCTCGAACTTACTACGGGACGCTGGGTCCATACTCACCGTGCAGGAAACAGGTCACAGCCTTGTGCCTATTGAGAAGCTCGCTACTGTTCTCTTTGATGCGTGTGCTGTAGCGGCTCCTTCGGTTGACTTAGCAAACGCTTGGCGATCGAGATGGATGAGTCTGGTTGCCAGCACTGCATTCCAGAATAACCCGGCCATTCAACCGCGAGCCTTCACAGTGATGGGATGTCTAGCTCGGGAAGAGATCGACGACGATCTGTTATATCAAGTCCTTGTGGCACTTCGCAGTAGTGTCACCCGCCTAGCAGACGATGGCAATGTGGAAATGCCCAATGCAGTAGTCACCGCCTTGTCAAAGATGATCAGCAAGCTCAGCTACACTTCTCGCTATGGACTGCAGCTATTCTGGCTCGGGATCTCCCTCGTCCGTCTCATGCCAACAGCTCATCTTTATGGGTTTGCCACGCAGCTGCTTGAAGCTGTACTAGCCAACATAGGCAGCTCCAGTGAAATCAGGGGCAAAAAGACAGCACAGGTTCTTCTCCACGGTCGTAGCCCATTAGAAGAAGCTACGCTTCCGCTTGACGACATCTACGGAGTCCACTTCACACCAGACAATTTCCACTTCGCTCTTTGTGTCTGTCTTGTTCGTGGCCTCACTGAGCCTAGTACGAAGGCTTCCACTCTTCGCATCTTCTCCACTCTCCTTGAGATGACAACAAACTCTTTCTCGCCCCAATCTCCTCAGAGCTCGGATGACTTCTACAAATCGCCTTACATGGCATTAATACAGTCAAGAGCCGGAAACACTGATGCTGTCAAAGACTGCCTTTGGGCGGCGGGGATCAACCCTGCGAACGTCGCGAATCTGAACCTAAAGCGGAATGTGCGGCAGGTAGAAAACATCAACGACAGAGATCTTCTGCTTCGCACCGCTCTTGAGCTAGTAGACTTTGCCAACTTGGAGGATGAGAATCAACTCGATACTATGATCTGGTTGAATGAATTGGCCACTGAGAGGCCGGGTGTTATCGGCCCCTTGTATGTTTCAGATTTACACCTTCATTCAACTCTTAAACATGACTAATGAAGGACAACAGATGCTCGACTATCACATCCATGCTTGAGGGTGTTCTACTGCACGCCCAGAAGCCAGAAGCGCTGAAGGCGGCGCACACCCTGCTCCGACTCCTCATGTCTGATCCTAAATACATAGCTGCGAGAGAGAACAGCAATGACCTCAACGAAATTCTTGAAGACATGGGATTCGAGGGAATATGGCGGTCGAACTCGGTCGTCCTGATGGAGCAAGAATACGATAAGCAGGTCATTGCGCTGACAGAAAAGCTCATCGAGGTTAGTACTCACTGTGTTCGCCATTGATTTAAGCGAGTCCTAATTGCGCGGTAGCTCATTATCAACTAGGACATTCTGAGATCGGCTTGAGTGGGCGGGCTTTCGAGGGGACGAGTGGGTTTGAGAGAGCGGTAATCTATCTAGGTACCGTTTTTTATCGGAGGGGAGCAGGAGAGGAGACTAAGATCCGTGTACAGCATGGTCTCACTGATTCCACTTCTGTGCAGTGGAGAGGAAAAAATAAATGAGAGCATCAGTTGATCAATGCGAGCGTATTGAAGGTATAGGTAGCAGTCGAATCATTCACAGTACGAAAGTAGCAAAGCGCAGCATTTGATTCACTGTTATACTTTGTTCCAAATATGAAATAGCTTGAATGTGTTGACTGTGGCCGTAGTGTATTGTAGCTTATATGATTGACATGCAATAGCGCCGTTAAATCACATCACCATCATACTATCTATAGCATAGCTTCTATCTACCCCGGCAGTCGCTAACCCCAGTGTCTAATGGTTCAACCACCTTCGAAACAATGTGGACAGATGAGTATAAGTGCAGGCGTACCAAAAGGAAATGCAGGACCGAATAAGTAGATATGCCCGTTTTCAGATTGGTTCCAGATAATCAATTGACCACCACTCGACGAGAGCATCGTTTATTCACTGTTAGTTACACTCTTGGTCCAAATTCACATATAGCTTGATTGTGCTAATTGTGAACCGTCGTACGGTATGTAGCCCGTGTGAGTGTCATGCAATGGCGCCCTCAACTCATACGGCCACCATATCCGCAGCATAGCTTCTACCCCGACAGTCGTCAACCAAATCCCTTAGGGATCAACCAACATCGACACAATGTGTGCAGAGGGATAGGTGCAGGCGTACAAATACAAAAAAGATAAGAAAAAAGTAAGAAAGGTAAGAAAATAAGAAACCGAGCACAAAAAAGAAGTCATGGAGATGAGCTCTTGCTAATGATGGACAAACGGGGAATTGAACCCCGGACCTTTCCCATACGATGTGGACTCGGTAGAATCAATGCGAAGGGAAAATCATACCCCTAGACCATTTGCCCGGTTGAATACTTCTGGACGCTATTCAGGGCTAGGTGTCCTGCTTTTGCTCTGCTTGCAGACACGTATGCTCGCATCAAGAAGGGGACTGCAATATGTAAACCCCAGTGTAAAAAATCACCGCTGGGCGCTAACCCTAACGTTCCACCCCAGCGCACCGGCGTCTCGCTTAGGCGACTTGCGCATTTGCTGTCGTGAGGCCAAGTTTCGAATGGGAAAAAAAATCAGATTGTTTAGCAAAGAAGGCAAAAGGATACTATATGATAGTTTTATGCCCACTACTGGAATCGAACCAGTTACCTCATCATTACTAGTGATGCGCTCTACCGATGAGCTAAGCGGGCTGGCTGCTTTGGGTGATGTTTGGCTGGTGGTGCTGGCTGATATCTAGCTACTAATGCATGGTTGGTCCGGGCGCGAACGACTACTCCGGGACTATTCATGTTGGGTCGCTTGGCCTGCTATCTGGACATCCGACACACTTGACCGCCGTTCCCCATCACGCATCACCCAAGTTGAAGATCTCGGCCGCTTGACAACTCAAAATATCTGCTTGGAATGTGGCTACCTGGGGCGAAGATCTGAGGTGAGTCATTTGTGTGTATGGTGCGACTGAGTTAGAGAGATGGCAGGTGTGTTCCTCAATGCTGGAGGCTCCTTCAGGGTCCATAGCTTGGAAGGGGAAAGAATTGATATGGTTGGAAGCCACAACCAGCGTAAAACCAAAAGTGCAATGCCTACCGGTGCCATATGAAGTCATTGCAGGTTGCCTGGACAGTTCTGTCTCTGCATCACCCCTCATGACCTGACTCCCCATCCCTCCACACTAAGTGAACTATTCCACATCACCGTCTTCAATCAACCAAGAGGTTCGATGTATTGCCATGCTGCAGTTCGTTTGCGGCTTCTCTGTCCCGAATACTGCATACACATGCCTACAGGCACACAGCAACGTGAGTAGAACCTACAGAAGTCTTCTCTCCTGCGGGCAACCCAGGATGAAATCTGGGAGCCCCAGATTTCCCGAACAGAGCACCTGTGTATCCTGTGTTCCATTTGTTGGCACACTCGCCGTTCAACAAGCCAACTGGACTTCAACTAACTCCATACAGGATGAACAGCATGAACGGACACCATCTACCACCCACACATCATCCTACCCAACCCCCTCAAAACACTTCAATACACGTCCCGAGTACAGCCATAAGCCCCAAATCATCACCACAGAAGAAAAGCACTGCGGATTACGGAGAGATTCTTTCAATCGTGCCCTCGATCCGAGCTTTGCACGAGGACGGCCAGACAACGAAGTTTGACTGTTTCACACCTACATCACGGAGTGGGAAAAGGATACGGCTTCCAGAAGCACAGAGACAAATGAACCCTCTACAGCTACCAGAGATTGAGTTGACTCACGGCGAAACAAGAATGTCAGCTTTAGATAAGAGAGAAAGGCGAAAAGATTGATGTGTGTTTCCCATTTATGTTTGCATTACCTCCCCTTTTCCTTGACTAAAGCTGAATGTACTAGAGTACAGCGCCATACAGAATGCGAATATGGCTGACAGTCGTCCAAGGAATCAAAAGACGAGGTGCCTCATTCCCCTTCTGTTCTTGCCGTATGGCATTGGCGATGCAAGCTGGGGAAATATCCCCTTCTGGAAGAGAAGACCGGGTCCACGAACAGATCTCCTTGAGAGAGATGATGAGAGAGATGATGAAGAGACAAAAACCGGCAAACCAGATCAGGAGTCACCGACCTGTTCTAGGTGCGCACACCGGGAAACCGGACGGTTACAGAGAGCTCGAGGGGTAAATCGGTGGGATCCCGTCCACGTGGCCCTCAATACCGTGCCCGAGGAATGGATGATCAATGAGCTCGAGCTCGAGGGGTAAAACGGCGGGTGTACGTTCAAGGAGGTTCGTGACCCAGGAGGCCGTCCCCGGGGACATCTGAAAGATGAAAACCGGCGTACCATGTTCGGGAAGGCCCGTTCATGGACGCACCACCGGGAAACCGGAACCTGACGGTTAATGAGCTCAAGGAGGAAATGGCGGGTTCGCGATCAGGGAGGCCTGGTCGTGGCCTGCCGCGTTCGGGGAGGCCTGAACGTGGCGCCGCAAGTCGGTATGTGCCATCAAAGTCAAAGATCAAAGAGTCAAGACAGAGAGGTCAAGTGCGTGTTCAGGGAGATCTGTTCGTGGCTTTTATGTACCTTAATAATATCTAGTCTAAAGGGGGCAGGGGATATCGTAAGATATCCTCTGGTCCAGCAGCCGCTTGCGGTGACATCCATGGCTGGGGATGAGCTGGGCGGGCGTCGAAATCGGATTCTGTGGCCTTCTCGCGGCGTCGCCTGTTAACCGGTACCCTACGTACCGGGACCAGCACAGAAACGTAACCTTAGAATAGTCTCTATATAGTCCTCCTTCTCTTCTCACACATCATGTGGGTGTCTGAGGGAGCTCATGTAGATACTAGAATTCGTACGCACAATCCATGCGCTTTGAGTATCATGCGTTGCCTTCGTTGACAGTCCAGATAGGCCAGTCAACGGCAAGTATAACGAGGCACCAAAGCCTATCAATTTGGGAGGAAGTCGTACGAAAGTCTGAACAAGGGAAGTCAGTTGCACAAAAAGATTAGCACAGGCCTCATGCTTTGAAACCGTTGATTATGGGAGTTTTTGTTCTCGCGACGGCTCGCTCCCGTTGCATGTTCTTTTGTGCGACTCGTCCTTGGAAATGATAGGCAAGATAGCCTCGCTAGAACGAATTCTAGTGACTGATTGACCTCTCAAAGTATTCTTTAGGTATCACCCGGAAGGGCAAAGATGCACTTGTCCTCCTGAAAGAATGCGGGGAGCCGGAAGGATGTCGCAGCATGGTAGCATCCGTGTCTGTGCTCTGTCGATGTCAGGCTACGATTCCAACTAGGGCCAGAGTATTTAATGTCGAGAACTCTGACAATCTAAAAGCATGAAGATAGGGTATCAAGTAGCTCGTGAGTTGTCATCATTCTACTCGATTAATATGAAAATGCGACAGCTTTATCTCACTATGGCAGCAGCGTGGGCAGCAGGGCGCTCCGTCTGCTTCGCTCGAGTAGTCCCTACAGAGAACAAGGGTCAGTATTCAAATGAAACGTCGCAATCGAAGCTACTAATTATGGTCACATGTTAGGGATTGAAAACATGGTCAAGACAGAATGGGGAGCACAATGTCGAGAGCTGATGATTCCCGTCCACGTGGCAAAGACATCTGAGCGGAATTTTGCCATCGGTGACTATGACATTGAGATTCTATTTGCTCTTGCCGGACGAGAAGTGCTCATCGAAGCCGATTATGAGATTTCTGCTCGTTTTTGCGAGCCGAGCCCGGATCAGGAGACATACGAAGATACATTGCAGCTCCTTGTTCATGGCTCGATGTATAACAAAGCCATGTGGGACTTCCCATACAAGCGAGACACTTATAGCTGGACTCGATACATGAATTTGAATGGGTTTGCTACTCTGGCTGTTGATCTTGTTGGTAAGGAAATCCATTACGTGATGGGATGCAACCCCACTGACGGATCCTAGGCGCTGGCAATAGTACGCATCCGGACGGGCTCTTAGAAGTGCAGACCGAGGTCTTCGTCCAGACAGTTCACGATGTTATTCAGCAACTAAGAACAACAAACCTTCTAGGAAAGACATTTCGTCAGATTGCATATGTCGGCTTCTCAATCGGTGCCATCGTCGGAGATGGCGTCGCGGATAGATACCCCAACGATATTGACATGTTGGTATTCCTAGGGATAACTTGGATGAAAGACTATATCTACCCAGTTTTCATGGCTGGTGGCCAGACTGCCGCTGCGAAAGTCAATCCTAGGGAATGGGGCGAGCTCAATGAATACTACCAGACTCAGTCTACCGTCGAGAGTCGAGAGCTGGCTCTTTACTATGGCGACTATGAGACCGGGGCTCTAGAGATGGATCACGTTATGCGTGATGTCGATACTCTTGGGACGGCCGTGGGGTTTCCATTCCATCTCGTCACCGCCGAAAATTACACCGGCCCTGTATTCCTGGGTATCGGGGAGAATGACGGTATTTTCTGTGGTGGCTTGTGTGGCGACAAGCCGTATGGGGTTTATGATAGGTTTCCGCATGCCTCTCTTCATAAAGTCAAGATCTATCCAAGGGCCGGACACGCCTTGATATATCATCAGTGTGCCCGGGAGCTCCAGAAAGACGTGGCGGGTTTTTTGAAGGGGCAATCCTTGGGGTATCGGGCACGTAGCCAGCTAGAATTGGATTCTAGTCACCGGCAACGTCTTGGGGCGGAAGATATGTAGCTTGGATACTGAGCACACACGAGTTAGTCAGCTCTTCTAAATCTATATTTGGATCATCGTTATCCCCTGTTAGTTTAACAACTCATGAGATGCTTTCGCTTGCTTATACAGAGCAAGATGATCGGAAGATGCATAAGGGTTGTCGTGTTATCATCACATAATGTTGTCGAATCCGCGACAACCAGTTGATTCCGTCGCAGGTGGATCGGCAGCTCATCGGCTGCCTATACTAGTCATATAGGGAGACCTGATCAACTGGAATGGAATCTACCCGATGGAATGCTATCACTAACTTGAAGGCGTCAGAATGTTAAGCACATCTTACTTTTCGCCGCGGCTGTCGTGGCATATTCACAGAGTCTGTCGTATAATCTTGCTTCGACTTTGTATTTTATGACGGTGGAACAAATTGGAACATGACTTATCGGTAATGCTACAACTTCAGTATGTGAAAGGGGCTGACCAGAATTGCATGGCTACTTGGAGGTTCTTCTCCTGAGTGACGGTTTGATCCCATGAAGGGGTTCGGACATTCACTGAAGCTCGCGCAATGTTGAATGCAAATTCGCTATCACCATGAACTCGCAACGATGGCAAATGATGCTCTCATCGAGTGATGATCAATTGATTATCTGTAAATCGATCCGAGAACGGACATAACTGGCTATTCGGTCCTCTATTGCAGTTGCAAACGTGCCACTAGGTATCTAGCCATCAGGGTATCTTTGCGTAAAACTCCAAACTTCTCCCCAACCTGTGCCTGTCAAACTCTGGACGACTCTTCACCTATGCTGTAGTTGGCCTCTCGGTTACTTTCTCGCCACCTCAGCAGTAAGAGAATGCAGTCCGACTTGTAATGGTAGGGTGAGGCCGAGCAATTCGATGAAGCGAACTTCTCTTTTTCCATCATTCTGATTATTTCTTCTAGCTCGGGTTTCTCTGAAATGATAATCACATTTTGCAAAACACCTAAAGCAACCTCTCCAAGGCGGTCCTGAA